GAGGATCAGCATCACTTTTCCCAGCTGGCCCTTTTGGTTTGGGAGCAGTGGGCCACCGAGGCGTTGGCGGCCACCTTGTTCTCTGGAAGACACAAAATTCCCCCTTGGTGAAGGAAACACCAACCTCACGCTCAGCAAGCTCTGCATCCCCTCCTGAGCCTCTGCATGGTCCAAAGGCACCTGTGGGAGGCATCAGTCCCATTGTGTTTGGGGTGGGGATGGCAGTAAGTCACAGGATGGCCCAAACAAGGTCCGTTTCCAGCCAGCGACTGGGCAGCCCAACAAGCAGGTCAGAAAACAGCCTACTGCAGCAGCACTACAGACAGATGTTACAATAGCTTCTCCCTCCCCCTTCCAGCCACACTGCATGTGAAGGACAGGCTTTTCTAGCATTAAAACCTTGAAAAAAGGTTCCTCAGTGCAGCTCCATCCCACAGAATAGAGTCCCCGTTGCACCACACTGCCTTTGTCCCACTCCCCACTGGAGCCCCAGGTTTCCCTTGGCGGGCAGAGCTCACCCGCTGTGGCAAGAGGGTCCTGGACGCAGAGGTGCAGAGCCAAGATACAGAGCAGCAGGCCTGGAACGGAGAGGGGACAACTGGGACCACCATGTCTGCCACCCACTTTACCCACAGCCTGAAGACCCTCCCCAGCAGCACGGGCAGCTCGCCCTCCAAACACCAAATCCAGCCCCCACCAGCCTCCCTGGAGCAGGCTGGTGGCCAGTTCCCCCCGGGGAGGTCATGGGGAGCCCCACAGACACACCTGAGGTCAGGGACCCATGCCGGCCACAGAGGGCAGTCCTGCTGCAGGAAGACCCCCCAACACCTGCCCAGAGCCCCGGGTGAGCAGCGGTCACCCCTCGCCCCAGGGAGCCTCTGGCACAGCCTCCGGCAGCTGGGACAGGGACAGACGTCCTGGGCACACCATGACAGATGCTGCTCTCCATGCTGTAGCAGAGCCCCCGTTACCTTCAACAGAGGGGACGAGCCATCGGCAACCTGCCATCTTCATCCACCAGCAACTTCACCCAGGACCTGGCAGGAAGAGTCACGGTCAGAGCCGGGCAGCGGCAGGGGACAGCCCAGTGTCACTGCCACGGTCACAGCAGCACGTGCTCCTGGAGTCCGCCTGGCGCGGGATGAGGTGGCAGAAACAATATCAGGACAGTTTACATAAAAGAGACTTTTCCTGTTGAGGTTTTTTGTGAAGAAATCTCTCTCCTAGGAAACTCTACAGCCTTTATTCCGGACACCAGGGGACACCAGAGAAATCCAGGTTGTTCAGCACTACAGTTTTGGTCCCTGTAGTGGCAGGACATACTTTTCAGGCAAAAATAAGCGCCTGAAAACACCCACCACCAACACCACCTCCAAAACCTGCCATCCAGGTCATCTCAACAGGCTCTCAACATGAAACCATCTAACATATAAACAACCAAATAATTCAGCACCCTTGTCACCGCTTGCCTGGACGTCAGGGAGCAGCAGTCCACCCCCTTCAGCCGCAGCCGGAGGCCGCTGAGGGGGCGCGGAGGGGGTCTGGGAGTGGGGCTCAGCCCTGGGACGTCCACAGTCGCTGCCTCCCGAGAGGGTCTCCAGAACCGCCCAGGTGGCTGCGGCCGCCTGCCACCAGCGGGGCCCAGGGACACGTCTGGGGCGAGCGGGAGCCCCCGGGGAGCCACGTGCTGCCGTCAGTGTGGTAGCTCGCAGGCAGTGCGCAGAGCTGCAGGCAGCTGCCGGTGGCACGGAGGCAGTTACGGACGACACTCGGCACCGTGCAGCAGTTGCTGATGCTGCTGCAAATGAAGACGTGACCCACCGGCAGCAGCACCCACCACGGGAGGACACAATCCCACCAGCCCTCAGGGCAGCAAGAGAGACCCTCCACAGCAGTTCTTGCTGCGGACGGATGAAGAAAAAGTCTGGTGTGAAAAACGCCCGTTTCCAGACATGCCTACGCAACAGGCCCTCAGGACCTGGCAAAGAGCAAAACAGGGCCCTGTTAGTGCTGGCACACCACTCCTGTGGAACACAAACAGGAACATTTACAGCAAAAGTGTCTTTACCTAGCGAGAGGTCTGGATCATAAAGAGCCGCTGCACTGCCAACACTCAAGTATTTCAGGTTAACTCACAGTTAACAGCCACCTCCTTCCCACCCGTCCATCTCTGCCTGCGTCTCCCCCCGGCCAGCCCACGCTGCAGCCCCAGACCAGGACAGTGGCACGCACATCCCTTTCACCCAGGGTTTCCCACCCGCCCGGCCTGGGCACCACGGCCCCGGGGCTGTGAGCGGCTCGCTGCCCGGACTGAGCGAGGACACCGGGCAGCACCTCCGGGAGAGCAGTACAGGCCGGGCAGACGGGGCAGGAGGAAGGTCTGCCGTGACACGAGCTTGTCCCGAGGGTGTGCACAGGAACCACCGCCGCCTCACAGCGGGCAGGACGGGGCTGTGCCAAGCGACTGGGCATCGTGACTGAGCGGGTTCAACGGACAGAGGTTTTCTGCGGCAAAACTCTTGGTTACGTCCTTGCATGTGCCTCCACACTGCTGTTAAGTCCTGACTACAAAGAGGTGTCTGCTCCTGGTTCTCACCGCCCAGTCCCTTGCCCTGTCGCTCACCCTCATGGTTTGGGAAATTCTACCTGCTCTCGTGCTTCCCTCCGCTGTAGGAATCCCTCTGCTTTCATTCAAAATCATCACCTGTTTGGCTAAGGAAACACTGGAGATGGGACTCCAAACAGGCTCCATGGCCATTTCTCCAAGGAGAACTGGAATACTCCCCTCCTGTCTTATGATTTAGGTCCAGTTAACATTCCCCGAGGACCTGGAACGGCTGAAGCTTGCACAGAGACCACTGAGGCTGTTCATTCACAGTGAAAGAAGACAATGCAGGCTGGCGTCTCTCTCGCCTTCCAAACCGGGCTACCACCACCCAGGCCAGGTTCGGACACCCTTACTGAGCAGGGTGCTGCTCCGGCATAGCCCAGCCCAGCTCCAGGGCAGGCTAGGAACGAATGCCCACCAGACACGGCCCCATCCCACAGAGAGCCACCTTCCCCCGGGGCAGGGAAAGGAAAGAGCCCACAGCGTTGACTCACCCCGTCCGTCCGCTCCCCGGATCCCAGCGCACCAGCGAAAGCCTGCAGCCGCTGCCTGCGGTGGAGCGCCTGTGAGCGCTGACAGCAGCCGCGGTCCCCGTCGCCC